TCGACATTAGTAACAGAGGAAGCTAATCGCCAGTAAACAGTTAATGAACCATCCAACATTCGGAGGTCAATACGTTAAACTGCATGTTTAATGTCTATTCGAGGTGGACAATGGCAGCACCCCGCGGATCGCCAACCGCAGTTTCGCTTCCAGCCTCCCAGCAGACTCGCCCGCACCTCCGCCGTTCATCCCCTTTTTAGCACTGCACGAGCAGTAAATCAGAGGCGAGGATGAGACCGGGATACGCAACCATCAAATGGCATTAACCCTGTTCTGGTGGTTCGTGTATAGTAATATAAGAACACGCAACTACCCTACTACAAACAGCGGTTTATGAACCCCTAGTACAAAGCCCAATCCGGTCCTCGCGTGTTTTACGATTGCCGCGCAGACGAATCAAGAGGAAGGGGTGCGGGGGAGAGCAAGAGCAGCACGGGGGCAGCTTTGTTCGCGAAACAAAGCGCGGGAAGTGGCCAACGCGAATGCGAGGGTTTGGTACCCCTGCAGGGCTGAGAGTGCGGCGTCCCTCCTGCAACCACACTTGGCCGTTGAATATCTCTATTTCGCAATACTTCAAATCTGCGCACTATCAGTCCTCTACTGTGATCACGTATTATCTAATTAATAGTTTACCTCGTCACACTTAGGCGTCTGAATACTTGTAGTAAGGGATTTGACACATTTCAACCATACGAAAATTTCCTGTTCCACTGAAATATGCTTTTGATCCCCCCCCCCAGCAACACGCTTGTCAACGGGTGCTCACAACCTGCGTCTGTGTTCACGGTGCATGGCATGGGCATGCTTTACTTTCCAAACGCGCGTACAGCATTACGCCTTCAGACAACCCCACCCCATTCCGCGCTCGCACCCCCGTGCCGGGCGTTGCCCTCGGTCCGCGCTACAAGGCACTACGCAAGGTAAACAACGCCGAACTTCGGTATACCATCATAGAAGACTTGGGAAGTATGATAGGAAAATCCGGGCAGCCGAGATAGAACGATGATAAATCATGCATTGTTCTTCACGGCAGAACCCTACTCCATATGTCATTCTTTTCTACTCCTTACCTACTGGCATTAAATATCAATAATTTATTGCTGGTTGTATCCCAGTAATGAAACAAACGGAACACACGATGTGTCCCACCAATGAAAAGACGTTCAAAATGTATATGCCTCTTCCATCCGCTCTAAAACAAAACATTGTGTTTGTGTTGTATAATGTTAAAAATGCATGTTAACGACATTCTAAAACCAGTTCGAATGACACGTCTGATAAAAACCGACGCTGAGACAGGCGTGAAAACGAATTAATTACCAATTAACGAACCCCCGTCAAAATCAGTCAATACGTCCGAGCGACCCCGCGGGGCTCACAGTAAAACGAAAAACAAAACTTTTCGAACTCCGACATACACCCGCAATCCCGACGCGGCACGTCGACAATGCAGCGCTTGACTGACGGGACAGAAAATGCAAAACCCACGCGTCGAGCCGGACCGGGCCGAGGCACGAAGTGGGGCAGTGCGGGAGGGCGATCCCGCAGGCGCCCCACGGGGTCATGGCGTTCTCGCAGCGGGAGACTACGAGGTGGCCGCAAAACGCGCACGTCACGCATCGGAACGCACCGTCGTGTTCCAGCACAAAAACGGGAGGTACAACGCCAATTTATTCCGGTATGCCGTCGGCGTGCTCCGATATTCCAACGCGGCGCCGCAGCGGCTGTGGCGGCGGCGGCGGCGGCGGTAGCAGCAGCTGTTCGTCCTGTGAAGACCGCGTGCCTATGTAGCCCTTCTTTTCACGGGCCAACCCCTGCGGCCGCCGGAGGTCGACACATGGATACGCGGGAGGCCAGCGCAACGGGTCGGGTAGAGAAGCAGTTAGTGGAAGTGCGGTTGCCTCCCGCGGTGAACAAATTCGCATTCTAGCTCATAAAAAATCGCATATTGACATACATTAATATATTCATCGTATGTATTTATTCGCCGTATTTACTGATGAATAATGGGGAAGGAAGGAACCAAAATGACTTTCTAGTATTTTCTACGAAATAATTTAATATTATTCATTGCGCGAATGAGGAGAGAAAAACAAAATGACAATTAAGCGAGTAGCCCTTCATATAGCAGGCAATGTACTCGTAGCAATGTCATTACGAGGTCATCGATTACCGTATTTTATATTTCAATACGTTAGGATGATAAAAAGGCTCTTTCGAGCACTCCCCTTCCGCACGGACAAAAACATGAAACTAAAAACTAATTAGCCAACGTTCGATGCCCTCCGCAGCTTAGTTCCTCAATGAACTGTAAAAATTCAAACATTACACGAAATGCTATACCAGAGAGGTCATATGCAATCGCACGACAATAGCAACTAGAACACGGCCGTAATGGTATGTTTATAACTGAACAGCTCTCCCGTAATAAGAAACAACACGCCCGTGCCGCGAATAAGCTCGTCGCAACAACCTACTCTGCCCCCTCCCAGCGCAAGCTGACCCACGCCCATTTCCAGCGCGCCTCCTTTCCGAGCGGCGAGAGGATGCGCGAGTCATGGGGATGAGCCACAACGCGCGCAACCCTCGGTCGGGAGACGAGGACGCGACTCGCTGCCGGTTTTTACTGCGGAGTCCGGCGAAGCAATTCGCTCCCGACGAGAGGGCCTTTCGTCACGTGGGACTACCGTCTGCCGTCTACTACAACGGGACGAAGCGGCCGTGCGGCGAACGCAAATGCGACGTACGTGGATGAGTACGTGACTGACGAGCGACGGAAAGCAACGGCACTGGAGTATGTGACTGAGAAACGAGGATTTATCAAAACCTGACACACGCCTAACACAGAAAATCTTGCCAGCGAGTGCATTACCAAAAGAGCAGAGAAAATCAGGAATAACACAAAGGTAAATGTTAACGTTCCAAGAGAATAGCCAAAATATGCAATCGAGAATTAGGGCAAAAGCAAATACTCAAAAAGAGCACAAGTTGTAGCAGAATGAAGTGGGTGAGAGAGTCAACGTAATCATGTATTGAATTTAGGCGTACAAACATACGCAAGACACACCTGAAATGCGTCGTAGGGCACGAATGAAGACGTGAAGCAACTTACACCAAGTAATCCACTCTGCATGTTCCGGCACCACTCTCACATGCGCATCTGTGCCAATAAACTCCCCCGCGTGCTACGCGGCAATAGAGATGTGCCGGAACGTCTCCAGCAAAGTCGGCAATAAACCTTTCGTTGAGATTTATCAATGTCACTGCGCTGTAGCAGTACTGCTCGCCGGCTGGCGAACTCCCAAACAAAATGCGCTGATGTTGGCTTGAACGTTTTTCATTTGACATACAGGTCAAATTAATACGCTATTATGCGATTATACATATTTTATGCTGGTCTGTGAGATATACGCTCTGGCCAGTGTGACGTTATGTACGGACGATAATACGGATGCTGACTGGTGTGAAATACGAAAATAGCATACTGACAGACGCAAACAACCCGCGCTCGTAGAAAGTTACAATTTAGTTCGCTGGTGACATGACGGGCAAAAAGGCCAACTTGTTGGGTGAATCACCGCAAAGAAGTGTCTGAAAAGATTTGAGGAGAAGCTGTAAATACTTACGGGTCGCCTTGCGCTCTACTTCATATCAAAGGCATCTGATGTTAAAGCAAGTGCACGTGTTAAAGATTCGCAACGGCCAGCAAAAGCCTGCGAGACCAAACGCGTCCACGCTCCCCAAAAGACTCATTGATTTATTTCACTAATTTTCATGCCAAACCATAACAAATTTCCACTTTATTGCTCTCTTGCTAACGCAACATATTAAACCAAACACAAATACTACGAATAAGAGTATTACTTCGCGTCCCTTTTACATCCCAAACAATTTCCCTTACCAACGATACATAAGATAGAGAATCTTGCGCAAACGCTTTTTGTTAAGAATCCTCTATTCACACAGGAAAAAATGTAAACATTAGAAGCTATGAGTAATGGTTCGTCCACTTAGTTATTAACATTTGCCTTTCCCATCATAGAAACATTATGCATTTGAAATCACTGCTGAAGTGTCCACCCAGTTACTAGGCCGGTTGCCCAGTCGGACGCGTCCTCGAAACGAAAGGCGGCGACGGCGTCGTCAAGGGCGCGCGACGTTCTGACGAGTTACTCGGCACGTCGGTTACTCCCGCAAGTCCGAGAACGACCATGCGTGCGTGTGTGTAGTTGCCCGCTGCCGCGGCGACGCTCATATCTTATTTACGAGCATAGGGGCGCGGCGTAACGATCGCGAGAATCACACGGGCGACGAGGAGGAGCCAGAGTACGAAAGGGCGCGAGAACGTCAGGAACCCCAGCGAAAAAGCGGAAGGTGGCGCAGCAAACGCCTTTCCATTTGTCTACACATTTAAGTATTAGTATGGAAACTCCATCAAAGACTATTACTGCACGGACAGACCGAAGCACGTATCAATACGTCACTAAGGATTTCAAAATTAAAGAACCTGCCATGCTGATATAACAAATAATAACACTAATAATAGTTAAGAAACACTACTATATTACAATGACAATATTAAATTGTTTTTCACACAACGAATGCACTAATGAACGAGTGAAATAAAATAGCTATTTTCCAGAAGCCAATCGTAATTTCCGGCACAATGGATTTTTGATTTAAGATTTCGGAATATGGAAATTCCTGGCGACAATTTGCACCTCTAGAGCATTATCTTATAACTCATACAATAAAATTTGTTTATACAAATGCTGGAATTGCCTAATATGTGCGACAATACTCTTAATTTGGGCGCTATTAAAATCACATGCGTGAACCACAACTGCTTATATGCTTTTGTTTTATTGCTCTTCGAGGCAAGAAAACACGATAAAAAAATAGTTTCATCTTATGCGATGTATTTTACGAATAACATTCATACATACATTCATTCTCCACAATGGTATTCCACAACTATAACCAAACAAATGTGTACTCACCACAGTGATTGGATAGACTGGATTGAGGATGGTAAACAATAGTACATGGTTCAGCTTGTCATTTTCCGATCTGAAACAAAACAAAAAAGCACAAGGCTTAGATGAGAAGCCAAACAGCACTTCCACTAAAGACAACAGATGCTACATCCACGACCTTCCTATGTAACGTCCATGGCGTCAGACGCCCACGGGGTCACCCTCAGCACTCACTGGTTCAATGCAGCTTTGAAGGCGGCGTCCAGGAGCACTTGTGGCACGCACGAGGGCTCGCACAGCGGCGCCGCATCAACCATGACGTGCGGCGTCGCCGGGAGGAGCGCCACGCCAGCCCCGTGGTAAGGGTGCGGAGGAGGCGGCGGCGGAGGAGGAGGAGGAGGGTAGAAGTGCATGGGCAGGATGGGATCCGGCAGGCATACAACCCTGAGAAGGTACAAAGAACAAAGGAGTATGGTAAGTATGAGTTGTCGGGCATAACAGGATTAGGATTCAACTGGATAGCAATATGTCCTACCAAGGTGCCCAATACTCCGTCAATTTACAGAGAATGTAAATTTACAAAACATACATAACATTATTTTGTATCTTACTACGTAAACATTACATGAATAATACACTACATCTTTACGCAGTTTTCGCTGAAAATAAAAACAGTAGGAAAAATCTAGACTGCTCAATAGACGAGAAACTGGACGACGTTGAAATTCTTAACAAGAGAATTCAGAAAATAACTGCATTGTTCTACCAAATTAGCATGAAGACAAAATGACGGGGAAAATGCAATAATCCAATTGGCTGTTGATTTTCTTGGTTTTGAAAGTTCAAATACAACGAAGTTGCGTCAGTAACTAAACTCTGAAAATACCAAGGTGGTCTTAAATAAAATCTTTTAAGTCTATTTACATCAGCACATGTTACGGCAAATCCAATCTTTTCAGGGCATGCCATCTTAAAAGAAAAAGTTACCAAACTTCAGTTACAATGCACAACTAATGATGAAAGAGACTTTACGCAAAATCAGTGACGCGCGCTAACGTTTTCCGGAGGCAACAAATAAACTATAATTACGAACTGATCTAAAGTGCAAATTACACTGTTTAAAGAAACAGTTTAAAAAAACGACTCATTGGGTTTGAGATTTATTTGATAATATATTTCATTAAAGTTACTTCAAATAAAATATCGATTATAATCATTCGAACAGTCGAATTGAAATACATTCGAAACTGCCTAGTGCGTAAATAGAGAGTGTTGACCTAGATCTCGAAGTGGCTAAGAGAGTGTACCAACTCGGCGCTTCGAAGGGTCGCGGGTTCCGAGACCGCCCTGGGCCTGAAGCACCCAGAAAAATCGAATGTCGGCAAAAACGTCTGTCCGTCTGAACAACGGTAGCGGTTAAACCATTCAGACGATTTTCTCCAAAATTGATAGTTGTCAATTGATCGAGCTGGTGTCACGGCATCTTGAATTTAAAACCATATTTTAATTTACATGAAGCCCCTAGGACATTTTTAAAATTTTCAAAAATTGCCCAATTGTTTTAGCTTCAATTTTGTTGTTGGATTGTGCGAAGGACGTTTGAGAGATCTCATGTTCGTAAAAATCTCTAAAATTTGGAAAATTGCCAATATTCAATTTTTTCGGCAATTTTCTACAAATACAATGGTTTAAGATAATTGTTTTCCCCTTTAATGAAATGTGTTCATAAAAAACAGTACTTCAAAGTAGGTCACGTTAAATGTTTCGAAAAAAGATTTTTCGTAATTTCTATTTTTTTTAAATGTTTCATTTTTATCCTCGTATGTAGCAAACATATGCAAATATAAGTGATGTACCTATTTTCGGGGCACTCTGAAATTTCCAAAATTGCACAAAAGTTCGGAATTGCAAACTCAAATTTCACACGCCTCGCTTCAAACTTTGTTAGTTCGCAAAATAACACACGTTTCAAAATTCTTCTAATTCAACCGATTGTTCTCGATCACGATTGGATAAAGGTAATAAATTTTAACTTGGAACAAACACACTATACATTTTAATCGCCATTATGGCATTAAAAAATCAAAGCTCACTTCAAATGCAATCAAGGCAGGTTGTGTAAAATTATTTTTGCTTTTCAGTATTATGTTTTTTTAAATCCACAAAATTCAAATTTATTCATGTTCGTTCCATTTCTAAAAGTAAGAAACGACCACTCTTGCTGACAATGGAAATAACTGCAGGTAAGCAACACAAGCGATTCGTTTCAATTTAGACTTTTTCATGTTATACCTGAGTTTTTAATATGGCAGAAATTGATGTATTTTGCTATTACGTAAATATTTTCTATCATTAGAGAATATACGTGCAGTTGGAACAACTCTAGTTTGTTTTTTTTAACTTTGTTCTCGAAAAGCAGAAAGGACGATGAAGAGAATGGTGCTGGTCTCATTTCCGTTGTAATTCTTGATTCCAAAAATTGCAGTTCCGTTTTTTTAGCTTTCTCACAATTACAATGATTAAAGGCCCTCTGGAGTGGCAGTGATCTTCCCCGCTGGATGGTGAGATCCAGTGCCGACCTGTCCGTCGGCTAGCGGGGTTTTCCCAACCAAGTATCTCTTACCGCGGGGCATGACCCCAGCCGGGACAAGCTTCTGGTCGTTTCCCGGCATGTTAGTTCATTTCCACTTCCAAAGAAATCCTCAAAATAGTCAGTAAACTAAAATACAAATCCGGCTGGTTTATTTGAATTTCAGGATTGTCTTTCAATAACTTGTGCACCTGCATCTATACACACGAATCACATTTTCAATGTTTCCTTATGCACAGCCCTAATTCCAGATATTTTCGAAATACCAAAAATTTAGTAGCTTTTATTTAAGGCTACAAAAATGAAATTCCAAATTATTTTGGAATAGAAATTGACAACAATTTCTATCTTGTCAGATATCTCAAAAATATTGGAGATGCTTTTCTATAAGGGAATGGAAACATTTCTCAACAGTGTTTAGACATGGATCCAGATAAGCAACATCCACGGAAACTGCCATTTTTTTCTTAAAGAAATTGCTTCATCAATGGATCAAAATGAACAGATTGGAATATTTCTAGATATTTTAGAAGCTTTTGACGTTATCGGCCACATGTCAAAATTACTCTCATATGAAATTCGTAGTTTTTCCTTACACCGTATATCCTTGAACCTTAAAACATCGATCGCAGACTAGAAATACAGTACTAGCACGAAAGAGCCTTAGAGGTCGTCCATAAATTACGTAACGCTAAAGAGGGGGGTAGAGGCAACGTTATGCTATAGGGGTAGGGGGTATTCCATTAGTGCTATGGAACATTGAAATATTTTTACATATTATCATTTGTTGAAATACTTTTTTGCCATAGTAAAACATGAATATTATCAAGTTAATTTGTTTTAAAACGAAATTATTTTAATTAAAAATTGTTTTTCTATGTATTTTGGTGCGTTGAATAGCTTCAGTTATTTGAAGCCAGAATGGCACCACCAACGTCCTGTGTTTTTTGATGTTTTTTAATCGAGCAATTCTGGCTTCAGTTTCGGATTCAGCGCGTTGACATATATGGGGAAACCTGTATCAAGATTTTGGGTCTGACCTGTATGTATGTATATATGTATGCGTGGGAGGGGGATGCGCGCGCGTATGTAAGGGACCGTCCATAAATGTGTAACGCAAATTTTTTTTGAGTATTTTGAATACCGCCTCTCCCCCTGCAACGCATCAGTAACGTGCACTTGAACCTCTATTACCCAAGACCGCCCCCCATTACAATAAGCAAAAATTAGTTGTCTTAATTGTACTTGTGGTACAATATAAAATGTATGATAATTAACGTGAGAATTTGTTGGCAGTGCGGACTACACATAACATTAAGTTTGGCAACAATTTTTAAATCAAAGAAGGATACTTAGGAGAGAATATTTCTAATACTCCGAGCAAAAATCTCCGTGGATAACACATGTCCACCGAGTCTACTTCTCCAGCCTAATCGGATTCTAAAAAACATGGATCACAAAAAGATTTTCATATATATTTTCATCTATTGTAACAATTTAAAGTTCTTTTTTATATATTTTTGATTTAATATGTAAATATGGAAATGTTTTAGTATGAGAGAAAGTATTTCAGCACAAGTTGAAAGATTGTAAAAAGCAATATCGCCATTTCGCAACACTACACTGACGCCCCTACCCTTACGCAGGTTAACTGCCTCTAATCATCTCCCCCTCTTCAGCGTTACGTAATTTATGTACAACCTCTAATTAACATGCAACTGGATGGTATTAAAACTGTTAAACATGTCCCAAAAACAAAGAAAAATGACCTAAAAATTTGATCAAATCCAGTTCAGTTGAACAGCGCAAACGGTTCAATATATTACTGATGCATTGGAAGCTTCCTCCTTTCGTTCATGTGAACTCAGCTTGCAACCGTTCGGGTTTTTTACCAGGAAATGCCAGTCTTTAGTTATCCCGTAATCGGCCGAACCGACATTGGCGTTGATAGGCGGCATAGGAACCTTTGATTACGGCTGACATTACAATTTCTGAGCGAAAAAATCTGGGCTAGTGGGTAACTATGTGGAGAACTGTTGCATCTCGTAAATGTTTTTTAGCAAGAACCATTAAAATATTAAAATCTATGAAATTAGCGAAAAGAGCTCTAAAAAATGAGGGGTAAGAGTAAAAAACGACTCGGGAGAATTCGAACAAAACTGCAACATCATGCCTTACAAAAATGAGTAATTTGCTTTTGTCCTAACATAAAATTAATGTTTATACTAGTGGGAATTCTCTGAAGTGAAAAGGGGAAAAAATGTAATTTCATTAAAAACCGCCCCGCCCCCCACAGTTCTAAGCATGTAAAGTGTCTCTTAAAATGATACAATATTTTTCTTTTTTATGGTCAATATATTATCTAATCGAATAGCAACTGTTTTCTAGGATAAAATTTTCACTTTAACTTTAAATTTGTATACAGACTAACTGTTTAATGCCATCTGTTAAAATGTAGTAAAGTAACGTACATCTATTATATGTAGATTTCTTGTCGTGAGCTG